ATAAAATCTGTACTATTGATTTTTACTATAATACCTCGCATATGTTTGATTAATTAGTATATGAAATACCCCAATAAAGCATGCCCCCATTTATTATGATTACCAGTATAAAAAAAAATGGTTATTATGATTACCAGTATTAAAAAAATAAATTATTTGTTATCCATTATGTCTAGGGATGTGAAAAATCCGGCCCAGTCTCGACTCAACTCCAAAAGTCAAAATGCTCGGTCCCAAGCAGACTTGGGACTTCGACTCACATCTGTACGTGCATTTAGTATATTTAGGTATAGCATAAAAAATGCGTATTCATGCATGCTTTACATGCATTCGCATTTTCTAAATATACTAGATGCACGTGCAGATGCGAGTCGAAGTCCTTGGGACTGAGCATTTAACAAAGACTCGACTTTTGGAGTCGGGTCGGGACCGGACTGAACTTTTCACATCCCTAACGCTAATTATGTCTCATAAAAGAACACCTTTTAAAGAAATCCGGTCAAACTTCACAAGTTGGAAAAATAAGGCCGAAAGACACCCTGTCAAAAGTGTATTCATTGTAAAAAGGATTCCATTAATTTAATTAGTCGACTAAAAGAGCACCTATTAAAATGTAATAGGCTTCCAAAAACACAAATACCAGTATAATGAAGCTTGGCTGGTACAGACCAGAAACAATAATTTTATTTCAGACTCAGCAGTCAATGTTTTAAAATGTTTTCTTTCGTGTTGCAATTAAAAAAACAAAAAACATTTTTAAATTGTTTTTTTACCATCCCTATCCCGATACTACCAAAATCCAAACAGTACTAAATCCCGAGATTTGTTGTCGAGTTTATGAATGTCAGGATTTTGATAATGTCGGAATTTTGATAGTGTCGGAATTTTGATAATGTCGAGATTTTGATATTGGGATTTTGGGTGCTCTCAAACATCCTTCTCAGTGTAATTATCTAGCTATAGAGATCGTGCACAAGTACTACGATTAATTGAAGTAATCCTTATAATTTTGTCGAAGATTCATGTTGCGAAATGCGGATATTCAATTAGCACAATTTGGATAAAAAAAAAAGATGGTCCCTGACTATCTTTTTTTTCGTCGCGATAATGAACTCACTTGAACGAATAATTTATTTTCCACTAATTAAAAATTGAACTTAGACCTATTAATTTAGATGCTTGAGAGCACCCTTTAAATTGTGTGCCTCAGAGTAACACCCTGCGCGTTATTTTACGTAACGGAAAAAATAACACACTTATACTTTGAATTACACAATTTCTTAAATACATTAAATACATATAATACAGAACAATAATAATATTTCTCTTTAATTTTACAAACTACTATTCTTTAAAAAGTTCGTTCATCGTCTATTAGCAGGTTAATGCCCGGTAGTAATTAACTCCCTTATTAAAGACTTTTTCCTAATAATCCTTTGCCATCCCGCTAGATTAACGCCTAGCCTTCTACCCAATGTCCCAACTGCGGTTTCCAAGTTTGTTGCAATTTCTTGAAATTTGGTTTCGGTTGGCTCTCGTGAACTAACTCGAATCGCAATTATTAACGCGCGTCGTAAATTTTGTGCAACCTATCAATAAATTTTGATTATCTTGTTATTGTAATGCTGGCAAGAAATTTAATTGATGGATAATACAATTTCTAATACCTCAAAAAGTATTTGCCAGTGTTCCCTGTCAGACGTCATGTCTAATATTTCTAATTCAAATATATCGACCAATACATCATAAATAAATCCACTAAAAACCTATTGATTTAAAGAATAAATCCCCAAAAAAAGATATTTAAATTTGCATGTTCATAAAAAAAAAAAAGCCCAGTTTAAATGTTGAAATTACCAAAGATAATATGTGTGTTTCAGTTCCGGCGGTTGATACTTTAAACTTGTTTGATAAATTTCTAATACCCTTTCCTTTATTTTGATATACTAAATCTCCAAATTCTTCACCTACAGCGGCCACAAAATTATCTGCCGATCGAAGCTTAGAATTTGTGGTTTCGATTAAAAGCTTAACCATATCATTCTAGATATCATGCGATGTAAATATACGTTATAATTATAAATTACAGTATTATCAGTAAATTTGGTAAAAAAAAACTCTCACCATAGATAGAATCGTAAACATCGTAGTCAAATCTCCAAAAGCTTCATGAAGTGCACCAGTTTGTCCTTCAACTAACCATTCAATTTGAAGAATATCTAGAAATGCGTGTCCGGCTTCATGTGCAACAATGTCGAGTGAACGACAAAGATATAAAGGTTTTTCACCTTGAACAATATAATAAAATTTAAGTGATGTATTGGTCGATATATTTGAATTAGAAATATTAGACATGACGTCTGACAGG